GTGTGGGAGCAATGGTGATGAAAATGATGATATTCAAGATGCTCTAGCCACACTTGAAAAAGGAATGGGTAACCTCTAAGCTTAATGCTTTTAATTTTGGTTATTTGGTTGCTCATTTGATTTTAAGCATGCATGAGTTTTGGTTTTAAATGATTATGCATCATTGTTTTAATCTCATGTATGTTGAAAAGATGATTATGATGAACATTTAAAAGTTATATTAATTTTTGAGAATTTTTAGTTCATCATAATGAATTTTGGTCAAAATTGGTTTTAAATGCTAATGATATCTCTCTAACAATTGATATCAAATTTCAAAATACTTTGATTTTATAAATTTTAATTTTTGGCCTAAATTTGAATGTTTATGAATGTGGTCTAAATGAAAATGATATCTCTCTAGCAATTGATATCAAATTTTTCAAAATGCATAACATTTTTGGAAAACTTTATGCAAATGCACTTAATTTTAACAATTGGTATTAATATCAAATTTCAACAATTGGTATTGCATAAAGTATTTTAGACTTGGATATATTGAATTTCATGTGCCTCTAACATGTTTGTTATTCTTTGTAGAAATTCAATATTTTGTTTAAGTGTCATGAACTTAAAAGCTTAATTTTGTTTGGAATACTATTATTAAGGGGGAGCTTTAATTATTCAAATGATTTTTAAATGTCAAATTTACTACTTACTCTCCAAAGTTATTTTGAACTTCAAAGATTGAATTATTTTTGATATCACAAAAAGGGGGAGAAGTTTGGTTTGAAAATTCAATTTTTTAATGAAAAAGGGAGAGCTTAACATTTTTATATATTTTCCAACAAATAATATCTTTTTCATTAAACATTTTATTAAGAGAGAGTTTTGCCAAAAATAATTTTTCAAATGTTTTGTTATATCAAAAAGGGGGAGATTGTTGAACTATGTTTTAATATAACAATTTAAGGCAAAATGGTTTTTGGACTTGAATTGAATTTACAAAATGTTTTTGGACTTAATTGAATTTATTCAAAGTTTTAAAAGGTTTCAAAAATAATTCAAAGTCCATTAAATTCGGATTTGAACAAAAATGCTAAAGAGTGTCAAAATGCATCCATGCATCCCTACAGTGCATCCATGCATCCCTACAGTGCATCCATGCATCCCTGCAGTGCATCCATGCATCCCTGCAGTGCATCCATGCATCTGCACTAATGCATCGATGCATCATGCAATGCATCCATGCATTAAAACATCGAATGCAATTAGTGCATCGATGCATCTTGAAATCCATCGATGCATCCTTGCTATGCATCGATGCATCCTGCTATGCATCCATGCATCAAGGCTGCAACGGCTAGTAACGGCTAGTTTATTTGAATTTAATGAAGGGGTATCGATGCACCTTGATAATGCATTGATGCATCATGTTATAGGCAACCTTTTTGAGTAGAAAAATTATCCCCAAATGACTCTAAAACATCCCCAACGGCTATATACAACATCAAACACATTCCAAGCTATAAATACAAGTTAAGGACACTTGAAGAAGCAAGAGAACAACTATCCAAGCAATCAAACACAAGAGAAGAGTTTTTCAATCTTATTTCATCTTTCTCTTGTAAATATTTTGTTCTTGTGAGCTCAATCTTGTAAACACCTACCTTAGAGAGGTTTTCTTGTTTACATCTTTTATCATTTTGTAAAGGGGAAAGGTTCTAGCTTAGCCCGTGTAAAAGCTAGGGAAAGGTTCTAGTTTATCCCGAAAAAACTAGGGAGTTTGTAAGGTTACTCTTTATCCTCAAAAGAAAGAACAAATTAGTGAATTTGTTGGAAAATCCTTGGTGAGGAGCTAAGGTAGTGGACGTAGACTTTGGTTGAGAAAGTCGAACCGCTATAAATCGCTGTGCAATTCTCTATCTTTCAATCTCCTTACTCCCTAAACACAAAACCGTTCCGACCCCTCTTTGCAAACCGTTCCGGTTGTCGATTCGAGCTTCCGAAAATCCCAACAAACATCTATGCTTCACCTGAGATGACTTGTATCTAGCATTACACCTTGAATCGTTGATGGTCCCGATAGTCCCTTGGTCGGGTCTTCTCTCAATGGACCCTTATTCAAGTCAACACCTCCACATAATTCAAAGTTAGATTAGAATTTCCCATGCATCCCCGACTAAAAGGTTACGCTGGAAATGAGAAGAGAGAAGCGAAAAAGGAAATTCAAGATCAAAAAGGAATTTGGGGTTTAGAATGAAATTGAGGACTGTGTTGAAAGTTTTAAAAGTTGGGGGATCTAAATGCAATTGCATGAAAAGTTCAGTGATCATATTGCAAACGTAATAACGACAGTGTAACGACGGGGACCATATTGCAAACGGACTAAATGTTGGAGGATTGTATTGCAAGTTTTAAAAGTTGGGGGACCTAAATGAAAACTTTAGAAAAGTTCAGTGACCATTACTATACTTTACCCTAAAAAATAAGCTGAACTTTTTAAAATATCCTAGTTATGTATAAAAGTTACAATTAGCTATACAGTTTAACCCCTAAACTAGCATACATGAATCATCGGTCATTATGCTTGCAGGTAAACTAATAAAATTATTAATATTAGAAAAAAAGCATCTATGTATGTTGCAAAAATGGTTACATGCCTGGTAGCAGGACCCCACGGCACGTTTACAGATTTCCAGACAAGTTTCCTATTTGCATCGAAACTCAATTTCTATCCTAGGTTTTATTTTCTATATGAGCTGCTAAAGCTTCATTATCTAATCAAAGATTCTTCAAGGTTTTTAATTTATTGAATCTTTATATAACTAATTAAAATCGTATCATCTATAACTGTGGGAAGATTTCAATCCATGTAGTAAAACAACTCTGGCAAAGGTTATCAACATGTAAGATCTAAGTTTAAATCATCCACGGTGTGAGTTGTGGGACTGTCTAATCAATAAGAGAAGTAACCATTCAAACGTCTCTTTGATTACACTACAAGAAAAATACCCTTTAATGACGCGCATTGCGCATCATCTATGGGTGCGGATGACACACAAATGCCTGTCGTTGAAGCCACCGACATGAATTTTTTATGACGCGCAATTGTGTGTCATAAATCTATGACGCGCATTTATGACACGCATTTATGACGCACATGTATGATTTACATTGCGCGTCATTGAAGCCCCCGTCATAAATTAAGATGACACACATTTATGCGTCATAAATTTATGACACGCATGTATGACTTACATTGCGCGTCATTGAAGCCCCCGTCATAAATTAAGATGACACACATTCTTGTGTCGTGATTGTATTTTGTAAATTATATATATATATATTGTAGATTGACAAATAATCAAACTAAATCACATTTAATGTCTCATAATACTAAATATATATATCATATTATATATAAGCAATCCATTTGCATACAATATATTCACATTAAGTTACAAATATAATATTCATCACCTATGGCGATTTGAAAACAAAAAACCAAGAATGTTCTCAGTTTATCACAAGAAGATACTAACAGATTATAAGATCTTAGATGCTACTCCTCTAGCTTCTTCTACAATTTTGAAGTTGCTTCTTCAGAGTCGAGAACTCTTGAAACAAGCTGCGAATGAGCATTAGCTTCAACTGAACTAGTAGGAACATCAGATGCACCAGCTGTTCCCAAACCCTTCCCAAAATTAGAGCTGATCACCTTTGGTTTCCACTCCTTATTTGAACCAACTGCTGATGACATATATGAATTAATACTTTTCATATATTAATCAAGCATCAACTATCTTCAGGTGAGAACATAAAGTAGTCCAAACATTTGTAAAGAGAAAACATTTTCATTTATGGTTATCAAGTCATCACTCATCACTAAGTAATATGAAAAGAACGAAAAATCAAGTAAATTTGTGGTAAAGGTATCTTAAGCACAAACCATCTTTACTTTTCATTTCTCACAGTTACATTGTTATTTAAGGGGATAAGTCTATTTACATATGGGTAATTCACCCATCCTTCTCGGTTATAATGATGATTTAGATAAATCCCATCTTTAACAAATAACGCACATATATTGATATCTAGATTAGATCGAGACAACTTAAGCATCCATGTACAGTCCAACAAAAAGCCAAAAATCAACTTTATTTTTTGGTGTATCAGAAGGATTATAACACAAAATCCACAATGTTTCTCTGGATTTACCCAATTAAGCCATAAAACCAATAAAACACCATCTAAGTTTCATCAGCAATTACCAATATATAGAAAAGTTACAAAACAACATTGATTTGGAAACTGAAAAGTTAAATAATAATCCATTCTACCTGCAGGTTTCTTTGATTTGGATCCAATAAATCTGTTATTTGCTCATTGTATATCTGCAAAAGAAAATTGAAAATGAAGTGATAAGGAACAAGAATAGTACAACGCTAAACAGTCCAATTATGCCAAAACTAAGAATCAAAATAATTCAATTATGTTTATCAGCATGCTTAATTCACAACTTCTAAACGGAAAATATAGTACAACTCAAATACCCACCTTGGCACATAGAACTCCAATTACAATCCCTCTAAGGTGGGAAAGACGGACAATAATGCATAAAGTATGGAAACAGGAATTACTCAATCGCACTGATTTAGCAAATTCGATTACTAAATTACATACCGATCAGCTGGTAACCACAGAAGTCACATATAAGTTAAATGTCCTCGGGAATAGACTATTAATAGTAATTTAACTTTGAAATAGGCTTGCGATGCTATATGCATGAAAAATAGAATACACAAAGGATATCATAAAGGCAAAAACAAGAAATTCATAGATCAGTTAAAAGTATAGCAGCAGAGCCCCAAACAAAGGGAACTAATTAGCATCACAGACAATATTAGGAACAAAAGGCATATTAACAGTGGAACTTACATTTTATTAAAGAACGTTTCCAATAATACTGAGAATTAAGCTTATTGATTACAAATAATAATGCATTAATGCTTACCTTTGGGACAGGAACTTCCCATGTTGCCACTGCCTTCAAGTCTAAAAATAAAATTAACAACCAAAAAATTCAATGAGAATAGACTCTAACCAATTGACTAGAGAGCCGCTGACTAATAAAAACTAACATATCATGGTTGCAAAAGTCAATGCCAGGGAGAAGACCCTCCACCCAGACAGTTTCTTCTTGTTTCGATGTGGAAGTTTCTCCATTGACTTTGTTATCATTCTCATGACCCTCAAATCCTGATATAAACCCAAAATAAATAAAAATCTTTAATCTCAGCTCCATGTTAATACAATAAACTTTCACCTGTGAAAGCAAATAAGAGGAAAGATCCAGGCACAAAAGTGGTAAGAACTAAAGTGTAACCTCACTTTTTCCATCAATTTCATTAACAGGCTCTCCACTTAGTCCACTATGACTGATGGTCACCTCAGAACTTCTTTCAATTGGACAGGTTGTCTCGGTATCTTCTTGAATTTGGGGAAATACATAAGAATGTAGAAGAGGAAGGTTCAGAGCACGAGACCAAAATATAGAATTCGCCCTAGCATTACAGAAATCACGCAGTATTAACCACCAAAGTTCAAAGTGCAAGGAATGTCATCATATCATAGTCAATCTCCTTCACTGTCCCCATCCACCCCATTTTGAGAGAGAATAAGAAAGAGATCATTTTGAGGAGATCCCTACCAAAGGAAATCTTCAAAGCAGACCTCATTGCAAAAGAAGCATTAACAATAATTCATAATTGGGAAAAAGGAAAATAAACACACTTGATTCCTACTTTATTCGATGTAATTAATACCGACCTTTCTGAAACTCCATCAAGAGCAAGAAGTTTCTTCACCAAACCCTTCACTTTATCTTCGTACACAGAAATCAAATCCTTTTTCTATAAAACAATTACACTAACTTTCATCATCATGGGTAGTCAAATTACATGCATTTCATCTTCAAGAGAAACGTTAAACTATATGCTTATAAATTTAAAGGAAAATTCTTGAGAGGAAAGGACAGTATACCTCAAAACATATTCGTAGCTGATCCAACTTTCCTCAAAAGGAAAATTCTTGAGAGGAAAGGCTAGCATATCCATTTCATATCGAAGGTGAAGTACTATGAAAGGTCCATTTTGCCTCAGAAGCTTAACAACTCGTTTACCTAACTCCTCAATCTGAGGAGTGAATCTTAAAGCATTAAAATTTACACGACATCGCAGCTTCTGAACATCTAAACTCTGTCCATTGTTGGCAAGTCGAGCATCAGTTCTATTCAAATGTACAACTTTATACTTCCGTATCAGAGGAAGAATCTGCACGAATAGATGCATACGAATTTAGAAGTCATGTTAGGAAGTAAAAGACTGGAGAATATAAGAACGTTTACAGAAGGGAAGAAAGAACCAAGCTATGTTATAGTATGCCTACAAAGTTCAAGCTGAATAAATGACCCGTAAATGACAAAGAATTAACCTGGTTATGATAGTAGGACATATCCGACCAGCTAATTGGCAGCATCGAATACACAATCCTCATTTCCACTCTCCTCTTAAGCCTAGGAGGCATCTCCTTTAATATCCAAACCTCATCTCTCAGTGATGTGATGAAATGATTCACATCAAATATATATTGAAATTCACTGGCATGCCAAGTAAAGAACATTTAGAAATAAGTAAGAGCTATGAACCGAGTTCAAAAAAATTCCAGAAATATATTTTAGAACATCCTTTCAAAAGCTATAAATCCAATATCTTCAATGATATGAACAAAGCTTAGTTAACACACCTGGGATCAGCCCAGAAGGATGTTTTATCCAACTCCGGGACTATAAGGGTGACATTCAAATATCTTGCAATGGTAACCATGTCACAAATCTGTCAAGCAAATCCAAAAAAAAACACAGAAGACAGACATCAATTTCCACATAGATTTACACCACAAAAACAACTGATGAACTTAGATAATCTAGAAAGAAACTAAAAGGGGAAAAACCATGTTTAGTGTAAGTTGTTAGAAGACTCACTGCTGCTCGCATTTGATTGAGACCTCCATTACATGAAACCATCAAGTATCCATTGTTCTTATAAACCCCTACAGTCAAGAAATACAAGCATCATATCATTTTAAGATCTAAATTCCATGACCAGAAAATTTTACAGCACGTACTACTGATCCCTGAAACTTGAATGAAAAATAAGAATGCATGCAAAGACAACAATTATCTGCATAAAAGTGAATCCCATATGTAAAAAGCAACTGAAAGAAGATATCGAATTTCAAGCAAACTTTGTCCAAAACAAGTAAGAATACCATATAATTCGAGAAAACTAAGACACTTGATCTAAACATTAGGTAAACATCAAATTTGATATGAATTCAAACCGCATCACTATATCGAAAGAAATTCACTTCTGGAGCTTACAAATTCGTCAAACAAAGAGATGAATCCCATTGCTTACAAAGGTTGATTCCATGTTTCCAGAAGAGAATTAGCTCAATTTATTCTTTAATTTTACCAAACAAAATTGTATAATAACAAAAACAACGTTCAAAATTAACAGAGATAAAATGTTTATTAAAAAGAAGAAGAGGGGAAATTACTTTTGGGAGGAATTACACGGGCGGGAACGGAAGGAACTTTGTCTTCAATGGCGGAAACGAAAGAATCTTGATGAGAGAAACAGGAAGGGCAACTCTTAAGGACGCTAGGTCCCCATGTCTCTCTCAAGGTCGTTAACTGTACGATGCAAGTCCAAAGCAACACCGATATAGCGGCGCGTATGATCCACAGCTTCATTCTCGAACCTTTTTTCAGCTTATCCATTCTCTCCCCTCCTCCTCCTCCTCCTCCTCCTCCGCCGCCGCCTCTCATTACTCCAATTCTCATCCCTCCCTTTTTCCCAATCCCGTCAACACTGCACGGTAAGAAAAAGAAACTGATGACGGAATAGGTCTTTACCTCAGCGACGGTGGGCACGGTAAGAATCTCGGAGAAGGTGAAGAGTGAAGGATGAGACGTCGCTTCGACGATAACATAAACAAGGGTTGTCCCCTTCTGAGCCGACGCTTGCTTAACGAAGTGATCGATGAACTCGGCTTGCTTTTGCTCGATATTCATCTTAAAAACTCGAACCCCGACCACAAACCAGGAGGGGGAAAAGAAAAAGGAAATGGAAATAATTTGAAGAATGTTACTGAAAACAAAATAAAAAACACAGAGAGAGAAGCTTTCAGGAAAATAAAGAAAGCAAGTTAGGGTTTTGGCGTTGGAGAGAAAAGGAGAGAATGAAAGGAGTGCAAAACATTAGGAGTGAACTGATTACGGGGAAGAAGCGGAAAATGATGAAAATAATGGTGAAATTAAAAGATGACTTTTACAGATGACACATAATTAAAAAATGTATTTTGTGTTTTTATAAATTTTTTGGATTATAATTATTAAATATGACACATATTATTGTAAGTCATAAATTGTTCAGATTTTAAAAAACATGATATTTTTTTTATGACTCACATATTTTGTAAGTCATAAATTAGCGTGTGTCATCGTTCGTGTGTCTTTAAAGGTATATTTTCTTGTAGTGTTACTAAGACACTAAGAAGAGATTAGGTTTAAGATCCCGAGTAAGTATAACCAAGCTATCAAAAAAACATTTAGATATTTATATGTTGGAATTAATGATCGAATCATGAATTAATCTATGTGATTTACCTTGGCTAGAGATCTACTCATCATTGAATTCCTATTTATTCTCAATTGTTATATTTGTAATATTGGGCTTTGTAATATTATTTAATAATAATAATATTAATAATAATATATAATAATAACATATATAATAATAACATATATAATTAATAATATATATAATAATAACATATATAATAACATATATATTATATATAATAATAATATAAACGGACAAAAACTAGTGTCGACATAGTCAACAAGAATGCAATAAGTTTTTTCCAGTTGACTCCATAGTTTAATAAAAATTCGTTCCACTACTCTTCCGTGGAGATCGAACTTTTGATATGTTTCTGCTTCACTGCTCTTCCGTGAAGGCTGGAATTGACTTCTTTTTACTAGAAAATCGATAAAGAATGTAAACATCCTGCCCAAAGGTCTGACGGATGGCCCTAAGGACTTATCATCTTGCTCGAAAGACTAACAGATGACCCGAAGGTTTTAAGCATCATGCTCGAAAGACTGACAGATGACCCGAAGGATTTATAAATTCGTGGGAAATAATTTACCAGGTAAGAAACTTTCTTACTTTTCAAAAATTTCATTTTCTTTGAACATTGAATGAGAAACTTTGATACTCGTTTTCTCATTCTTATACGAAAATCACATGTAAACATCCTACCCAAAGGTTTGACGGATGGCCCTATGGACTTATCATCTTGCTCGAAAGACTAACAGATGACCCGAATGTTTTAAGCATCATGCTCGAAAGACTGACAGATGACCCGAAGGATTTATAAATTCGTGGGAAATAATTTACTGGGTAAGAAACTTTCTTACTTTTCAAAAATTTCATTTTCTTGAAAAGATTAAATGAGAAACGTTGAAAATTGTTTTCTCATTTTCAAAACAACTTGTTGGTCGGGCATGCCCCAATAATATTTCATCTGCGGATTGCATCCATTTATTCTTCAGATGTTTTCCTCTCCTAACATGATTCCTTCATTTGGGATTTGAATTCTACCTTACATTTGTAAGGTATTGTATCCCTGCATCTTCTTGTGAAAAATGTATTTATGCAAATGTAATCAAATGTATCAATGCATGCATGATCTTTATGCAACTAATGTTCTTATAAATGTATGAATGTATCAATCTTCATTTGACTCCAAAGTTTGATCTTCTTCTTTGTCAGGGTTGTCTTCAAACAATATAGAAACTTATGCTATCAAACTTGCATTTCTGAGGAACCATCTGGTCAACTTGTATCTTGGTGTCTTCTTTTCTCAATTTTCTCAAAAGAATTGTTTCATTTAGGGAACTCTTGTCATACTCAGAATTATGACCTTGTTGCCCCATTTTGTCCTTGATAAAACCAGCTGTCTTTACCTGAACTTGTGTAAAAATCCGATGAAGTTTTCATGTTTGAAAAGGGAATCTATCATCTTTGCAGGATGTAGATGTAAATATGCTAAACTCAGCAGAGATTAATAAGGATATCAGCCACTTCTGTTTTGATTTGACTCTTGAAACACATCACAAAGAGGATTTATTCTAATTCCTTTCATGTCTCCACATCTAATCAGATCTTGAAAAAGGTTTTTCAAACCATGTTCTGTCAAGATGTTTAACAACTACCCATCGTTCAATCTTAGTTGGCTCCACTAGTTTCTTGTTGTTAAAGTTCCAACGTTTCTTCATGGAAAGAAATCTTCATCATTTCTCGTTTCTGATTCTTGATCTTGGAGAAAGACAAATTTCATTTTGTATCAATCACATGATCGCAACATTGGTTCAACACCATAATTACTGGTTCGTAAAATATTTGACAACACATTCATCCTTTCCTGTGATTTCTGCCTAGATTTCTCAACCAGGGAACTCAAAGCTTTTTGCATGACATCACTATGATATTTTAATAAGAATACAAATGGGATGCTTCAACTTGTTAATATCATATCAAGGAACATTTGACAACATATTCATCCTTTCCTGTGACTCATGTGGGGATAATGTAATCGTATGGTGGATAAAACAGTGATGTATGGTCAACTCCACTGTTCTTGTTTAACCATTTTCATTCTTCATACCTTTCTGTTTCATTGGAAATATTTACTCAAAACAATGATCTTTCCCTGATAAGGGCCTTTAGCTTGCCCCAATATTTGCCTTCAAAATGCCCCACATGGATTTCTGACTGAGATGAACTTTTAGCATGCCCCAACATTATTTCACACTGATATAATGTCCCTTATATTCCAAATTGTAAGGCTTACTCTTAATGTCCATTTCTAGATTTCATACTCCTCACGAGGTCCAACTTTGATAATGCCCTCTTGTGGGTACTTGTGGCTCTATTTGTGCCAAATCTCTTGATCTTGAATGCTCTCATTCCAGTGTTACTAAACATCAATGTTGTTAAGCAACTTGAGGGATTCTCTTCATGTTGTCACAACTTAAGAAGTGACCAATTCTTCTGATAGAAATGTCCAAGATATGTGCCTTTTCCAAATGAGGTAATCATCTTCTTCTTGACTGGTTGCATTCTTGCCTTATTATTGCTCTGGGATATGTGCCTTTCTTTCGAATGAGGCGATCATCTTCTTTTCGACGGGTTGTCACACAAGGTTTTAAGAATGTGAAATGCTTCCTCATTCTGACCTTGCTTATTATTTTTTCAATAGAGGTATAATAAGCATCAACTTGATTCAATATCCTTTCTCTTTTGGGACAACCCTATTTGAAAATGTTCTTCCTCATTTCTTACAAAGAATGAATTTTTTTTGTAAAATATTATCCCTTACAGGTTCACAATAGAATCAAATTATAAGCATAAGTTCAAAGAATATCAAAAGAATCAACAACTTTATTATTTCAGCGTTATAGTTCTTTAACAAGTATCAAGATTGAGAGGTTAGTTTTAGGGTGACTTTCTTATTTTATATGGTTACATCTTAGTGAAGATGTCACTCCTCTCTCGCTCTTTGTGAACATTGTCACATGCCTCACTTTTTTTGACTTGGTACTTTTTAACCGGATGCTTACAAAATGACACAACTAGTATGGCCAGTTACTAGACCTTCTAAAATACCTCTATTTCAATTCTCTGAAATCTTTGATTCTATCCAAAAGCAATGCGAAAACATCGGTCTAATAATGAAATTTATGTGTGCATTTGTGTGAAGTAGACTATAACAGGTATTATTGGATTCCCTTACAACGACTTCTTCTTTTTCCATTTTGGCTAACTGAATTTAGCTTTATTGTAACTTGCTTTTATTGGGCTAGCTGAAGGATTCATTTCATCACAAAGTCTTCGACTTGACAATCACAGTGGAGCAAATACCAAACTGCCAAGTACCTGAACAATGTCATGTTTTGAATATAATCTATTCATAAAGCCGGGGCTTTTGAGTTTCCTCTAAAACCAATTGCTTTAGTGGAATAGCTCATCTTTATTGAATATACGACTCTTACTTCTTAAAGTTGTTAAGAAAAACCTGTTATAGTCTATGTGTTTGTGGAAAGCAGAAAATCTCTTTACCAGATTTCAATTCCCAAGTAACTGACTTAGACTAGATTTGTAAAGTTTCATCGTCGAATTTCATCAATAGAAAAGTAATCTAGTCAGTTTTGTAATGTCACACAAAAGATGCCCCACGTTGTACACTTTTATATGTAAATACCAAGCCTTTTGTCTAATTCCTTGAATTGGAGAAAGCTCTCTCATATTTGTAAGTGTGTAGTATTTGGGTATATTTCATCTGAGGTAAGGTCAGGGTCCTTTTTTTACTGGTTTTCAATCTTGATACTTTGTCAAAGATGTATAACTCTAATTGTAAAGAGTTTTTAATCTAGTGATACTTAAAGAACTGCAAGATTGCAAAATTGATTCAATGCTCATAACCTTAAAAGCAACACAAATTTATTTATTACAAATGAGGCAGAGAAAGGAACAAAAAACATGTTCAAACATGATGCTACAAAATGAGATAAGGCTCATAACTGATGAAATGATTTATTAGATGCCCCATTCCTCATCCAATGTGATCATGCTTTGATACCCCACTTGATCTTGTCATCCATTGTTCCACTAATTCTCGTGTCAATGTCTCATTATCAACAAGTATCTCTATCTCCTTTAATAGTGACCTACAATTCCCAGTAGAATGCCCAGATAATCCTAAGTGGAAATCACAAATACTATCTTGATCATAGCTATGAGCAGAAGGGTTTGGTGGCACTTTCATTGGCCTCGATCTAATGTATTGACTTTTAGTCAAATGAGGGTACAAATATGAGATAGAAATTTGGAACACCTCCAAAGTATTTCTTGATCGTGGGGTTTTATTTGGTCGATCTAAACTACTAATTGTTTCTTTTCTTTTGCGGTTGAGAGGATTTTGGATGTGACATTCATTCACATCATCAGCTTTCTCTTGTTCATCAGATGGGCTTTTGGATGTGACTTTTAAGTTTCCTTCTCTGATTGCATTTTCAATCAATTCTCCACTTGTCACAAGATACTTAACTCCATCCTCTGAACTCGCCAGCATTAACTCATAGAAAGGAGCTGGA